TGAATCTGTCAATGAATTAATGCATTTGCATATGTAAGAAAAATAACTTGGATCTCAAAAACCAACGATTGCTACATACCACTTGCTTAAAATAAACTTTGACACGCCTAAATTGAGAAAAAAGGAAAAGAGGCGCCTATCCTCCGGAGTCAACTCAGTACTAGAATTCGGGGGCCTTTTTTATAAGGTTAACAAAATGATACTTGTTATTCGGGACCATAAATACGAACATGATCACTTTAAAATCTAGAATTGAACAAAAATTGCGTTGAGGTGAATCAAAAAGGGGTTGAAACCTTAAAAATGGCAAAGAGTTCCGCTCTCCCAGCTGTTAAAGTGTGCGTCATTAATATGTATTCTGCAATGTAATTGTCCGTTTAGATTGTTACGAACATGGCATGCTCCAGCTTATGAACTCGCAACAGGTCTTATACTCTAAATCTGCGCTCTCTCACCTCGCGCTTTTCGCACAGAATTTGTATCAAAATATGATTCCCTCCATGCAACTATTAATCACACCACTACAGTGTACTTAGGATGTTGCTGATCACTTCAATACTTTCACTTGTTTGCTCGATTCCACGCAACAGCTCCTCCGATTTTCCTGCTACTCCATGCTCTACAGCGACTTCCACGGACGAGCATCGATATACTGATGAGCAAAGGTATTTTGCTTTTTTTCTTAGTGTGGCTGATATGATTCTTGGTCTCTAGATTACTGTACCATCTGCTAAAGGGTTATGAAAAAGCGGTACGGCCAGTTCGAAATGCCTCAGACACTGTTACCGTACGGCTTGGGATGACAATGACCAACATTTTTGATATGGATGAAAGAAATCAAGTGCTGACTATTAACGTCTGGTTGGACCAGGTGCGAGAACTTCTGGCTTGATCTAACTTATTTTCCTCCGAATCTACACTGGTTGTATAAATTAAGTAAGCCTTACTAATCGAATATTCATAAAATGTTTCATCCATTAGAGCATTACCCCATGTTTCCCAACGGGCGCATTGAGCAACAGCAGTTTTATCAGAGGCTCACGTGTATTTCTAAAGTGGTCCAATATTGCCTTACAACACTGTAAGCAACATAAAGCTTTCTAAGAAGGCTATCTGAATATATGGTTCTCAAACCCTTTTTAGTCGATGTCAAAATGTTACTATAAAGCGAATGTCACGATAAAATTGTGAGCTTTACTCTAGTATGAAAAAACAATAGATGTTACCGGCAGCAAAGCATCGGTGAACAATTTTTTTCACGTTTTAATGGATAAATTATCTCTTCTAGGTTTCCCGCTTGCAAACTTTTATCTCCATGTGATCTGAAACAACATAAAACCTTGCTATGATTATGATTTGATCTTGATATTTTTCTTATGGCGTAACAGGTTTGTATAGGAACACGTTTATTTTGCCTGATGTTTCGGCGTAACGCCGTCCTCATAGGCGCGAGAGTGAGTCAATCACCTATCAGACGATTATGCCATCAAACACCTCTGCTACATCACACTTTCAGCTACTCCACAATAATGCAGCTAGTGTTCAAGCTCACATGTTGACACACCAGTGTTCCACAGAGCTTAACAAATGCTAGCTCACCTAGCATCAAGTTAGTCATTTAGCATCAAGCATCTGTTAATCTTTGTGGAATACTGGTGAGTCAACATATCATTAAAGAGGACGAATGTGTGGTGTAGCAGAGTGTTTGATGGAATCAGAGTTTGATAAGTATTGACTCACTTGTAGCCGAAGACAGCGTTAAGCCGAAACGTTAGTCAAAATATACATGTTCTTAGACAAACCTATAACGAATATGACTCAGATATCATACAAAGGTTTCAGGATGGGAGATCTTATGGACAACATAAAACGTGTTTTTTTACAGCAGTATATTTTGATGTCTTTCGAAATTCCTGGGGCTCTTTCTGTTCCTTCTTTCTCATTCAGAAATGTTTGCCTCAAAAAGTTTTCTGTTACTTCTGTTGTTTGCGAGAGACTGACAACTTTCTTATTAACCATTAATGTGCTCAAGTCAAGCCAAGCTGCACTGCTTGTGGCCATTGCTCAGATATATTAAAAAAAATCCAGAATGTCTTTTAAAAAACAACGAGGATTAGAGTTTTGTCCAAGAACGATTGCTCTTTAATCTTGCCATCTACACGTTGACCGGACCTCAGCGGCGGGTCTCCGGAGGGCAAGCTGGAATTCGTTTTTGTGATTAAAGCAAACCAGAAATCGTATGGGATCCAGAGAGAGACCTGCAATTCAATCTCAATTATGACCTCTTTTTCCACAACAAGATTCTTTCTACCGTGGATGTGCAGCGGTCTGAGTATTTTCTTTTTATTCAACACTTGATTCAGAGTAATTCCACACACACTACTAGACCGTCTAAAAACCTGATCCAGCAAGTTCAATGTTTGTTTCAATGCGGGCGTTAGTGCGGGAAATTTGAAAGAGCTTTAAAAAATTTGGATAAAACCGTTTCTCTGAGCGAATAGGCAATGAACGGCTACCAAATTTGGCTTAGAGATGTGCAACAATGAGTAGAAGAAGTGTTTGAAAATTCTTTGAAACATTATGAGAATGAAAAAATCGCCGTACCTTTTTGTGATTTAGGTCTCCGGCGAAGACCTGCGAGAGACTTAGGTCTCCGATTAGCAAACCCTTTTTTGTTTCTCATAATTTTACGCTCCTTATAGCGAACACGTTTCGTGCATCCCTTGACCCAACTTACAGCGCAGTAACCAGATTGCAGCGCTTTCTCCCATTCTTGCTAGGGCCCTGAATTTTTCCTTAATGAAGAAAACGCGCTTCAAGTGTACGTCACGGCAGGCTTGTCCTGATTGCGCGCGTGTACTGGTTACAAAAGGGACTTCGTAATTTCCTGTAATTTCAGGCGGGTATCCGTTCTCGTAAGGTTCAATCGGAGACCTCGTGCCGAGCCCTGACGTTGACGATGCCCTAATTTTACCTCCGGCCAGAATTATTAAAAATTACACTTACTGAGATATATGTTGAATATAGGCCACGGCTCTGCTTACCTTTACTATCAAAACGAAGAAATGAGGAATTTTTATTCAAAAGAGCTTAAGGCTGTTCGGAACTGACGGGAAGTCCTGCAGACAGATTTCAAATTCAAAGACAAAAATACTTTGAGAACTACAAAGAAAATTATATTTTTCAGACCCATGGGAAACAGCAGAAGTGATGGCGCACTTAATTAGAGTAGATGCGGAGTGTTTCCCCTTATAAAACGTGAAAAATATAAGATTTGGACCATTCACGAATGTGAGGTGCGTCGCTATGACAGTCATTAAGTGCAACATGCACCGCGGCGAATGCTATCATTCACATGTACTTGTCCGAGTGTAGCTGGCCAAAATTTCTCTTGCTGTATAACTATCTATGGTCACACTTATTTTGCTTTTTTTCCTCTTATCCGTCGATAATCAGTAGTAGTCATTTAAGCCCTTAGTAATCTGGAGAATTACTTCCTCTTTGTTAAATATTATTGAATTAATGTTATTCCAGTTATTGCTTGTCCCAATTATATTATATAGAATGCGTCATTTGCGCGGCAGGGAATTAGACAGGAGAAAAAGTTTAGCATGATACCTTAGAATGAATCAGGATGGAAAGAGAAGTTTAGCTTAGATAGATGAGAATTACAAAGACAGAATTGCAAAAAAAATGGGCAAGGAGCGGTGAGAGAGGGCTGCATGAGGACAGTGGGATTAAAGCACATTCAAGAGCGCATGTTCGCCGTTTGAGAGGAGAAAGTAGTAAATGATAGTTTGTGCAACCATTTATTCCGTAAACTTCCAATGCCTAAGAATGTGATTCATGTCCTCCTAATTTATCATCTTTCAAAAGCACCTCATCAAATTACTATTAGAATATCCCGTTTACGGCCAAAAAGGATCTCACCAGGGCCATAAAGTACTCACGTGGGACCCAAAAGTATCTCGCCTAGGACCAAAAAATCGCCTAGGTCAAAAAAGTCTTGCCTAAAGCCAGAGATCTCGCGTAGGGCCAAGAAAAAAGGTACGTCGCCCGAACCTCCAATATAAGGTTCGTGGGTGCGAGTTCTTAAATTGGGTAATCATTTTTCCGACCTCACTATGAAAAACAACCAATGTCTTTTCAACAAACTTTGTCTAAAAAGGCGTAACATATACAGCGGGAAAAACGTCCTTCTTCCAGTTTTATATGCCGTCAGAGCAATCATCCAAAGGGCCATTAAAAAATAGTTTTTTCGGGCAAGTACAGGTGATTGATGGTCTTCGCGGTGCAATGATGCATGTGATACCACAGACGCGTATATCACAGTGAGATAGAAAATAAATTAAAAGACCATCAAATGGAGAGATAACCAGAAAATTGCCGTTACAGCAATTTCTTGAAACAATCAATGTATCTAAAATATTAAAAGTTACATATATGGTTTTAGTCATGAAGATTACATTTGGATTTTATGAGAATAGAGTTTATTACCTGAAAGTAGTTAAAAAAA